TTATGTTTAATTTTGTTTATCTTTAACTGTTATTGTTAAAGAACTAATGATATATGTTAGGAATGTTCAAAAATAAATGTAAATTCAAAAAAATGTTTTTTATTTATATTTTATAAGGATATTTATGTATTATGATCTTATTATTATTAAACTTTTATTATTATATATATACATGATGGAGATATAACTATGTTTAAATATCTTTTATATGTGTCTTGAGTATTTATAAATAATATCTAAAAATATATTATATTAAATTTTAAAAATCGATTTATTTCCAATTTATCATCGATTAATCACCGCCGCATCGATTAATCGTGAGTCGGACCCTGACCGCCTCCGACCCGATTACCGCTTTTTACAACCTTGATATATATACTGACTCAAGCCACTTAAATCAAGATTTTCTGTATTCTTATATTTTGTCCCCACTAGTAAGTTTGACAAGTGAATTCATGCTTTTTGATCAAAATATATTAAGTAAATTACTGTTTGTATGATTGTGATAATAATAATAATAATTTTTTTTTTTTTTTTTAATTGGTGTGTAGGTGTGGCTGTAGGTTCGGGATGGCAGTCATACGTGGCATACATTAACCTTGGTTGCTACTATTTAGTTGGACTCCCTCTTGGAATTCTCATGGGATGGGTTTTCAATCAAGGAGTTATGGTATGGTTTTATTTCTTTTAATTTCAAGTTTTTCCTTGTATATTATTTAAATTCTTCTTTGAGATTTAATAAATTTCATTTATATATAACTACCCCATTAATTAATTGATAGAATATGTTAATATTTTAGGGTATTTGGGCTGGTATGATATTTGGAGGCACTGCATTTCAGACAGCCATTTTAACCGTCATCACAATTCGATGCGACTGGGAAAAAGAGGTACGAATATCTTCTCACAACAAATAAATACAATCACATTTCTAATACTATTTTAGGATGTTAAATTTATGTTATTAGTTAGGGGGTGAAATTTGGAATGACGAAATCTCAAGAAATAGTATTTTTATAATTGTGTTTTTTTTTCAAAAGTAGAAAGCTAATAACGATTCCAGAATTGGCGAAATCTGGAAATATTTAGTTCAAATGAATCGCATTCTAATTCAATTGAAAGTTTCCGAATCAGAATTCGCAAAATCTCAAAGTTCGGTTTCGATTTTCATTGGTATCCAATAACCTCATTTGATATGCATTGTGTTTAAAATGCAGGCGGTCAAGGCAACTACGAATGTAAAGAAGTGGTCGGAACCGATAATTGACGCATAAACAAATTGAGTATAATTTTATTTTCTCGATCGGAAAGTTGACAGAGTTTCAACATTTGTTGTTGATTAATTAGGTGGAAATCACTCAAATATTCTACAAAAATACATATTATGTTCAATTGTATATGCTAATGGTTTATTATATTACATACACCAATGCAAATGTGTTTATTTTGCACGTCGGTACGTGTTCTTCTTCGAATCGAGTCAATTTCGCAACTCAAAAGCCAAGAGATAATCTTAAGAGCATTTTAACGAGTAATTATCCATCTACGCATATTAGTCTGAGTTTGGCAACAATTATCCACGTGGAGGATACAAAATCAAATAAAAAAACTTAAAAACCTAACCCGAATTGAAAAAAAAAAATCAAATATAATATATATATTTACTTTATTTATTTATTTTTTTAAAATTATATTTTTATATATATAAAGAATGACGTGATTAAATAGATTCTTTGGTGAGGGAAACACAATACGAGTTGTAACATCCCATATGGGTTGATGTCACCATGTTTCTTGCTGCACTTTCACAAACAAAGTGTAAGAGAATATATTCTCGTAAACATCATTAATTCCCATGCACATGTAATAATTCTCTATTTTTTTTATTTGGGGCTTTGTGTTGAATACGTCAATAAACAATTACCAAAATTATATAAAAGAATGTCCTTTGGATATCTGCGTTTGCTCAAATATAGTTAAAAGTTTTTATATAAAAGGGTAAATTACCAAAAAAAAAAAAAAAAAAAAAAAACTATTATGTTTAGTTAAATTACAATCACTTTTAACTATAACTTTTTTTATTCCTTCATTCTTGTGATGTCAAATTTAGTGCAATTTTCTAGATTATGTGGATACTCTACACTTTGTAGCCGTTTTACCCCATTCGAACTCCACATTTTGAAACAAGATGATTATAACATGTGTCTATTGGCTTAAAAATATCAGATTTTGGTGCATCAGAAACTGCACTTTGCACAAAACGAGTACAAACTAGAGAACATTTCATGGATCAAAAAAATTATGTTGAGTTTCATGACACCAAAATGAATGTGTAGCAAGATTTATAATTGAGGGGTTGACTGTAATTACTCAAACTAGAAAGAGTTTATCGTAATTTAACAGTATCTTAAGAATGACCGTAATTTATTATATATATAATGTAATAAGGTGAAGTTCATCGAGTTCAACAAACAAACTCTTATATATGAAATTACAGAACTAATTAACAACTGTTGAGTGTAGATATTACACTCAATACGTTTACTTTACGTGAATCTTTTGTTTAGATTTAATTATATTTGTGCTTTAATTGATTGATTTTATGTTTTATAGGTGAAAAACGAGAATTAGGTGTCCATGAAGAAAAAAAGATCAAAAAGAAAGGAAAAAGTTGCAAATAAGGAAACAAATCAAATTGGAAGAAGGAATCTCGCCACAGCTTTGACAGTGTCCACCATTTCGAGGATATCTCTCTCGTACGAACTCCGAATTAGGTGATTTTGACGGCATTGGAAAGCTAATTTCAAGGGCTACAATTCTTATTTACACAACATTCCAAAATTCGGACTCCAACATGGCACAAATCGACCAACAAATCCTGATGGGGGAAAGTGGCGGAAATTGATTCCTATTAGGTTTCCACTACTTCCTTATCAAGAAAAAACCTATAAAAGCAACAAGTCTCTACACCATAAGCACGAAATTATACACCACATAACGCGAGGAACGAAGATCAACGAAGACTCAAGCATAGTTTTTCTTATTTTTATTTATTTTATTTTCTTTTTCATAAGAATCACGAGTAGCTAAGTCTTTTAATCTAGGATTTTGTTGGAACCCTATGTGGGGATGGTGAACCCGTTTTCTTGAGATTATGCAATTATGATTTTATGATTATTTCTTCTACTTGTTATGATTGTTAGTGCATGAACTTGATCAATTTATGTGCTTTATTTATGATTATTGGGATTGACTCGACAGAGCTATTTTGATAATTAGACGGTAAGTATAAGAACCTTCGAGTAGTTTTCACCAGATGAGTGTGTCAATTGCATGTGGTGTCGTAGACATACAGATATCACCTTAGGTAGCCATTTACGAGACTTGTTAGTTAATGTTTTATTCATAACTAGTTTGCATAGACATATAGTGAACCGTTTATGAATAATAGACTCATAATACACGCGACAACGGGTTATGAGTAAATTAGTGTCTCGGGTTAATAATCATGAATCATATATTTCATAATTGAGGGGTTTTGGGTGAGCAATTCTTGCATAGGGGGAAGATAAAATCCTAGGTCCGTTTTTATTGATATTTTCTCGTGTTTATTTGCTTTCATAATTAGTTTAATTATTTAGTTGATTAGATCTGACATCTTTGCGTAGGCTGGATAAAAATCATAGTTGTTAGAATTTGGTACTTAGGATTAGATAATTTGAGTATTCCCTGTGGGATCGACATCCAACTCTCACGAGTCCACTTTTACTACTTGTTTGCAATACGTGCACTTGCGTGTTAGGTATTTAGCACCCAACAACAACTAATAATCTTTTTATATTAATGATGTAATCAATCAATATATATTAACATCCTGAGATTGCTATTGATTGGCCATAAAGTTTTGCACACCTAATAATGATTGATCAAATCTTGCAATAAATTAGAAATCATTGTGTTAGAAAAGGTATTAATTACTACAAGTGTGTGATGAGCAGTGAATCCGAATGAGCAATACCTTAAATTCGC